CAACAACAACAACAGATTCAACAACAACAACAGCAACAAGTTCAAGCACAATAAGCTCAACAAGAACATCAACAGATTCAACACTAATATCAATAACAAGTTCAACCACAACAACAACATCAACAGATTCAACAACAACAAGTTCAACTACAACAACAACATCAGCAGATTCAACAACAACAAGCTCAACAACAACATCAACAACAAGTTCAGCTACAACATCAACAGATTCAACAACAACAACAGCAACAAGTTCAAGCACAATAAGCTCAACAACAACATCAACAGATTCAACACTAATATCAATAACAAGTTCAACCACAACAACAACATCAACAGATTCAACAACAACAAGTTCAACTACAACAACAACATCAGCAGATTCAACAAGAACAACAACAACAACTAGCTCAATAGCATTAAGCTCAATAACAACAAGTTTCTCTACAACATCATCAAGTTCAACTTCCTTAACAACATCAAAAAGTTCCATTTCATCAACAACTTCAATTTTAACCGATATTTTCTTGACGTCAGTAACGTCAACTGCATCAACAATACCAAATTCCTCGATACCAGCGACCACAACAATATCAAGTTCGGTAACGAGTTCAATTTTAACCGTTATGCTGACAATGTCAAGAACCTCAACATTATCAACGGCATCGGGTGCATCGAACACTTCAACTGTAGCGACTTTGTCGTCAACAAAATCAAGTTCATCAGGAACTTCAGTACTAACCAACAGGTTTACATCATTAGAAGCATTAACAACAAATAGGCAAACATCATTCGCTTACGTTCTTACTTGTCCTCAATGGTATTTAATACTCTTTTGTTCAGTTATCATCTTACTGAATAAGTAAATGGAACAATTCACTTCAAAACTTACGCCTTCATTTTGCTTTTATTGTTCGTGATTCATTTGCTTGAATTGTTCGTGATTTATTTGCTTTCTGTTTATCAATAAATTCAAATACTTGCATTATTTCTCAAAGTTTAATATTCACCTTTTATGCTACAAATTGTTATATACTAAATTAATAGATCTTAATATAGCCAATGAAATGCATTGAATTTGAACATGAAGATATATAATGTTGAAATAAATGATGGCAATCATTCTTAATACATTGCGTATTTAATGCAAAAACAGCTCTTAATCAAACATTGTCGTAGAAATTCTACACGCAAGGGTGTGGGTATGGGTATGGGTGAGTGTGGGCGAATGTAAGTGGGATGTGTATGGATGAGGATCTGAGCGTGATTGTTTGTATTCTTCTTATTTATTACTTACACCCACACTGACACCTACATCCTCATTCTGTCCCAGCACCGAATTCGCACCATGATCAAAAGTAAAATCGACAAAGGAAGTAAAAACGATAAGGATCTTTTTCTGTTTACATTATTATATGTAAACTAAGTTGGAAAGAAAAAGTGCAACGTATAAATACCGCATGCATTCGCAAGTTGAAGTGATTTTGTAAACTATTTTGAAGAAAAAACGTATTAACCAAATAAAACTTCGAAACAGTAAGTTAAACAAAGATGTGTGTGTGTGGATGTCTTTTGAAACAGAACTTTGATTTTCACAATATATTTTAGATAGAAAAAATGGTTGAAAAAGTATCACAAGGTGTTGATTCATGTAAATGTTGCGAATTTGGAGGATATTGGCCATCGCTAGAAAGTGATCAATGTGGCGGTTGTGGACATCCTTATAGTTCTCATGGCTGTTGAAGATTTGATAAATTTATTCATAATAAGCACAGAACATTTTTTATTTTTTAAACTAGAAACTCACTCTAACACTTCACCCTTATTCTTTTGCTTGACCCTTTGAGTTCTGTACTTTTTTCACCAAAATAAATTTAATGAAATATGATATAAAGTAACTAGATGGTACCAGAACACATATGTATAAGTCATAATAAAATGAGGCTAATGATATTACAATTAAAACAGCATGAGCCCACAGCCACACCTACCTCTAATATATCATCATAATCATAATAATAATCATAAAAACATGTGGCAAGTGATGAGTGTGGGCGAGAATGTGAGTGGGTGCGACTCCTCTTCAATGTCTACACCTAGATTCGCACCCACACCGACACCCTGTAAAACTTTATCATTATTTTCATTGTTATTTATGGTGGAAATAAATATTGTTCAGAAAATTTTCTTTTTGTTCTGTTTTTAAATGTTTAATTAATTTCGAATAAATCGCACACTCACACCCTTAAGATAGTTTATGAATTTTTTTACATGTTGGAAACTTTCAATTTTTTACTGTTTTGAATGACGCATTTATTTTTCTTTTCATTTGTCTCACTCTGAAGTGCATATTTTTTCCACCAAGATGACTCAATAAATCTACACACTTATTGTTTTTTTTCTGTGTCTATGTTGGAAACTATTATGCAATTATAAATATTACATTCTTTCATTTTTTGAATAACGAACGTTTTATTATTGATTTACAACATTGAAAATATCTATATGGAACAAATTAAACGTCAACGGAGCAATAGTGTGAATAATTGTGATAATAATAAAAAACAAAAGATAGAAGGTAAAACATACATTTAATTCTTTTTTATAATTTCTATTTTTTTTCCAGTTGAACCGAATTGGTGAGTCAACAAAAAATATTCGTTAAAACGAACGTTTTTCTTTTTGTTTTAGTTTATTAAAAGAATTTGTCACATGTTTTGAAGATCTGTCTAACGAATTAATCTATGAAATATTTGAATTATTAGATTTTCATCATGTTTATCAAGCTTTTTATTCACTTAATACACGATTTTATTATCTTATAGTTAATTCAACTGTTCCAATTGACGTTAATCTTTCTTCTATATCAAAATCGACATTTCAACGATACAATAAAGATGTTATTCTACCGAACAAACATCGAATTCATTCACTACATTTATCAAATCTGTGTTTATATGATGATATTTCTTCACCAATTCATATTCTATCCCAGTTTCTTCGTCTTAAAACACTTAGTCTTAATAATATAGAATCAAAACATCTTGAATATCTCCTTCCTACATTAGTTTCTTTATCATGCCTCTCTTCATTGTCTATCACATCTAACGACATTATTCGAAACAAGACCCCTATCTATTCTCAGATAGTTCGTCTGCCTGCATTAAAATATTGCAGCTTATCGTTGAAAAAATCAAATTCTGGTGACCCATTATTGTTGACAGCCAATGAATACAGTCCCATTGAACACTTAATCATCAAACATGATATAACCACCAATGAACTTTACAGCTTATTATCGCATGTTCCTCAACTTCGTCGTTTATATGTTTCTGATATATGCAATTCGTGGTGGAAAGATATAAAAACATCTGTATTTGTATTACCTTATTTGACGCATATTTCACTTAATCTAAGCTCAATATACTTCAATGCACTTGCAGAAATGATGATAGATATTTTTAATCAAGTACAAGTTTTACATATTTCTAAACGTTTTATTTACAATGAAATGTATGGCAATGCTAATAAATGGGAACAGTTGATATTATCTCACATGCCAAATTTACGTATATTCGATATTCAATATGACAATTTCTCATACAATATTACTACTGACAATCATAATGGTAATCAAGTGATATCGAATACGACGTCTGATAATTTTACATCTTCATTTTGGATCAAACGGCAATCGTTTTTTACACAACAATATTTTCAAGAACAAAATAGAAATCGTACAATCTTCTATTCAACAGATCCATATAGGTATGAATAAATTAGATTTTTGAATTCTACTATATGTATATTATTTTTACTTTTTAGAAGAAAACATTATACATTGTATAACAACATTTATCAATCAACTTGTTTAAATTCTAAGGAAACTCACCTAAAATCTGTTCAAAATCTTAAAATTCAAAATGATAAAGAAACAATCAATTGTAAATATTATTTTCCAAATGCTACTACGCTTACTCTTCAAAATAAATTGTCACGTACTTATAATTTAATTTCAGTTAATCTTAGCCGTGTTATTCCTTTAAAGCAACTTACCAAATTAGTTATTGAATCTAATCCTATTTCTTTAACAAAATTAATTGAATTATTACGTTGTACACCTCATATTCATACACTAGTACTTAAATCTATGTCACTTTATGGACTTAATTATAACTCTATCCAACAAAATCAATCTTTTCTATTGGTATCCAATACAAATACCATCACACACGTGACTTGTAATGGAGAATGTACACTAGAGAAACTTCAAATACT